TTTTGTTATTCTTTGTTTAGATTAGGACACTTCACACACACACACACGACTTCCTCTTGGACTACCTTACAATGAGACCTATTTATTTCTCACATTAATCATCCTTTGTACTTTTTCATGTATCCCTCCACTATTTGATGTACCTTTTTATATTGTTTTCCTTTAGTTCCTTTTCATTAGTTAGCAATTCTTAGGAATTAGGATCTATCAAACCATAAAGTATTCTTGATGCATATATCAAGCCATACCCCAATTTGTAAGTCGATCATTTCGTGCATTGCCATCAACCTTATCCTAGTCATTTCAAACATTTTCTCAATAAATAATAAAACCCTTGATCCAACGTCAAATGACATTTTTCTCAATAAAAATACAATTAGGATTGTGCACCACGAGCCTTAAGTGGTGGAGAAGGAGTGAGAATGGAGCTTCCCTACACTCACTCCGAGTATTTTGAACACAAGAAACTCGGCTTGGTAGTTCGAAATATTCACCTCTACCCATAGTCTTTAGTGCAATCTTAATCAAAAAACAACTCCTCTTCAAAACCCTAAAAACAACATCAATTCATCAAACTTTCTTTTTGCGTCTTAGGGCATCACTTCAAAAACCCTTTTCGAGGTATAAAATCAACTAACACACGATCATTTCTCAAGTATCCGAACTACAGAACTCTGATTCCTCACAATGAGGATATATAGGCACAAAAGCTCCAATCCTTGGCGAACACTCTAATAAAAAACCAACCTTCTTTCCCTTTAACAAGTATACTTTTAGAATAGAACACCCATTCGATCTTAGACAACTTAGATGGTTCTCATCGAGTACAATAGATATAAGGGGGTACTAACTTTCCCCTCATATAACCGACTTCCGAACCAAAATTTGGTTGTGAGACCATTTTTCACCTTTAGGGGGGTTTATTGTTATTTTCCCTTTTCCTCTTGGAATAAATAAATTTCGGTGGTGACTATGTGTCAGCTTTTGCATAGCGAAAGCTGGCGACTCTACCGCGGACTCTTTTGTAAGTAGGTCAAGCCTAATCTAGGTTGTTTTCACATGTTTAGGTGTTTTCTCTTTCTTCCTTTCTTGCTTTCCCTTTTTGTTTATTTACTTGTATGTTATCTTGTGTGGCTCTTAATGTTGTGATATGAATTGGGTACTTAGGTGGAAAATTATGAGGGAAAGAATCTACACCCGAGTTTAGAGTGTAAAACTAAGATAGGAGAGGTTGAATAGTGTGGGCTTCCGAGAAGCTCTTCTCATGAAATTCAATACGAGAACCTCATTTATAGTAGATCCCATTTAGGATATTAGCGATCGTCAAACTCTTGGCGTGATCGATTAATGTTTCTTAGGGATCCATGACTCTAAGGATCTTTGTAGAACCTTTAAACCATTGGCCAACTAATATTAATGGTCACGTATTATGGGCCCCCGAGAAGCTCTTCTCGCAAGGGTCGATATGAATATCTCATTTAGAATATAGTTTCTTGATGGACTTGTTGCTTGGAAATGACTGACATACATAACAAACAGTTAAGAAAGTCCATGACTCTAAAACCCTTGTCTAGAACCTGGTGTCGATGGTCAGGTAGTATGGGTCCCCGAGAAGATCTTCTCATAAGTTTCGATACGAAGATCTCACGCAAAAGAGGTTCATAAGTGTTGGCTGGAAGTTGTCGACTGAGGAAAGGTGACACAGAAATTGGCTTGTGGGCTGACAGGCTAGGAAAGGAGATGAAGGGAACGATGCGAGTTGACGCCAGCAGAGGGAGTTTGTGAGTAGACTTAGACCTATTTTTGTTGAAGGTGTCGACTGGTGGAAAAGGAAGTCGATGCAAAATATGAGAACGTCTGAGCGGGAAGAAAAATTGAAAAGCTGAGAACGTGGGAAGTTACAAAAGTGGTGGAAGGACACGTGGTGACACTAAAGCCAATGTTACAGTTATTTTATTTTTCTATTTAAGGCAATGCCCATGTTCATTTGAGGGGGCTCATTTTTGTAACATTGCAAGGGAACACACTTTGAGTACCAAGCGTTAAGAGAAAAGAGTTCATTTCTGCAAATGTATGATATCATCCACATTTCTTCTTTCAAAGCAATTTACATTACCAAACTTTAAGATATCTTGATTGCTTTACTCGTTTATGTTATTTGTCCTTTGATTCGAATTTGTTTCCCATTTCTTCAATATATACATTATTAGTTAAGGTTATTTCCAATTTTCTCTAACAAACACCATTCTACCACCATCATATATACACGGCCAACATCGTTCTGGGACTTGTTTGGCCGGTCCCACAAGTAAACCTGCGTCAAGAGGTCAGAGGTTGTTCGCACGGAAATTGTGTGCGAACAAATTGGCACACCTAGTGGGACCCGTTGGTTTGGATGTATGCATTTACGTAGTGGAAAGATGGTGACACCACGTCCAAATGAAGAACCGTCTTCGGAGGGAAATATGATTGTGACGCAGACAACCGACGTTGGCGCTGACATTGTGTCTACGGTTTTGACACCACGTCCAAATGAAGAACCGTCTTCGGAGGGAAATATGATTGTGACGCAGACAACCGACGTTGGCGCTGACATTGTGTCTACGGTTTTGACTGCACATAGTGGGCCTGTCATGACGCCACGTTGTCCTGAACCTAGGCTGATGATGACAGGAACTGGGGGGCAGTTTGTGCCTAGTTTCACAATGCCCACGCCTCGAGCCCTTGGGATGCCGACAGAATTTATGTCGAGCTTACATCATAGTGGACCACTCTTTGGAGAAAGTTCATTGCCAGCTTTATCACCGTATCAGGGATTAGGGCCTTTGGAGAACCAAGTTACTAGGCCCCCAGGGTTTACTCTTTCGTCACACTCGATCCCAACTTTCACCTCAAGTTCTGTCGCCGTTACGCGACAGGAGATGGATAAAAGTAATCACAAAATGGTTCACATATTGACCCGGCAAATGGGCACCATATTAAGACCATTAATACAAGATTCGACTCAGAGTTATCAATAATTGACGACTCAAATGACACTGATAGGTGATTTCTTAGGCGTTCCTAGGGCCCCAGGTCGACAGACGCCACCTCGACCGGAGCCGCCAATTCGACAAGACGAAGTCTTCGACGAAACAATTCGTGAGGTTGAACATACACCTATGGTGGCCCAAAGGCCCCCCACTATTTTAGTTCATAGGAACTAAGACCTAGACTATATGGTCAAATAGGTTTGACACGAAGCCGTGGCTGACGAATCAAACTTAGAAGCTATGGTGGAACGAATTATGGTTCGCAATGGAGCAAACTCAGGCCTTCGAAGGCCAACATACACGTCCCTACTACCAAACTTTGTTTTGCAAATAGAGCTACAAAATTTACGTCAATGATATCATATTTGGTGCTACTAACGAATCCTTGTGCAAGCAATTTTCTAAAATAATGCAGAATGAGTTTGAAATGTCAATAGTGGGGGCTTAAATATTTTCTAAGACTTCAAATATGTCACACCAAAGAGGGGACTTTCAAAAATCAAGTCAAATACTGTAAAGATTTGCTAAAAAGGTTTGATATGGAGAAGTCCAAAATAATAGCAATTTCAATGTCGACTTCGTGCAACCTCGAGAAGAATGAAAATGAAAAACCAGTTGAAGAAAGTAAATACCGAGGTATGATAGACTCTCTTCTCTATCTAATTACATCTCGTCCTAATATAATGTTTGTTGTTTGTATGTGTGAACACTTTCAAACATCCTTGAAAGAATCACATCTCAATGTAGTTAAACACGTTATGAGATATCTCTATGACACACAACAAATAGATTTATGATACCCCAAGGAAATAAATTATAACATAGTTGGGTACAACAATTCTAATTTTGCTGGATGCATATTGGATAGAAAAAGTATCAACAATACATATTACTTACTTGAGAACTCACTTGTCTCTTAACATATCAAGAAACAAGCAAGTGTGTTAATAGAGCTTATCTTACATGTTATGCACTTACAATCATGTGTTTTCATTTTAGATAGTGCTTATTGTTCTTTTGTGATTTTGACAACGTCAATTTTCATATTTTTAAAATAATGTCTTGCATTAAAATCCGAGACGTTATACAAAATATCCAAAATAGACGTTACACAAAATATCCAAAATTCAATCTCTAAACCAAATTAGGATTCAGATTCCAATTTCCAAACTACATTCATTTAAAAATGAAAAGAAAAAAAAAACATATTTTATTGATCATCAATGATAGACATGTGCATTATATGTAATTTCATAAGATTTTCCATTTTTTGTGTCAAAATAGAATAGAATTGTGTTTGCAAGCAAAAATTTAGAATAAAAATGCAATAAATTTTTTAAGAGTTTAAAGAAATATGGATTTAACTAAGAGTTATGGAGAAATTGTTATGGTTTGAATTCTAAAGAGTGTCCCTACCTGATTTTCAATTGTCTGTGTCAAGATTTTAATCGGACTTCGAGTTAAACGGGCCGGTCCGATATCCGGTCCATATATGCAACTCTAATCATGTAAAAACAAAGAAAAATAATACCATACGGGTTGTGTAATATTTATGTAATTTAAGCTATTATTGGTTACTTGTTACCCTACCCACAACAAAAACATCCAATATCTGAAGTTACATCACAAATAACAGAAACAGTGTGTGTAATAAGAAAGAAGAAACATCAGAATGTGCAAGAGAATTGCCTTTACATTATATTATTATCTGTTGATGCATGGAAGCAGCATCAATAATAATGAGAAAGTAATATATACAGTCCATTACACCATCCAAAGAAAGCAACTTAATCAAACAATTTTGGAAAGTAACTCCACTTTGCCCTGTTAAGAACCATCTAGACAAAAACAAAACATATAAATATTAGCACTATGAAAGGAAGAATAACAGTAAGAAATATGATTCCATGTCAATATGTAAGAATGAACCAAGTTACCTTAGCTAGACACCTATTGTCTACACAAATTCTATGCAGAAGCTGTTGCTGGAACTCGAAGTACTTGCTGCAGAAAGCGTGCTAGGAAACGTTGCGTGATTCCATCCATAACGCCTCCCCCAAGTCTCCGTACCTCGGGTTGCTGAAGGATCTGTTACCACGTACAAACATCGACTTTATAGTATTTCAATTGAGGACAAGTATGAAATTTAGATCCACAACTCAGGAAAACATATGAGATCATTAATGTGTAAAACAGTGGATCTTACCTGGAATATAGGCAGCAGAAGAGCTGGATCGAAATCGTTAGAGGATTGAAGAAGTCCCCAAATCCTGACGACTTGATTCCTAAGTTCTATCATGCTTTGCATTTCAGATTCTGACATCATAAGGGGACCATTTGCATTGCCATTGAAAACTAGAGTCCTCATGAAATCCGGAACTGACTTGTATGTATCAGAAATTGAACTGAGAGTAAAAGCTTCTGATACGCGAACAGCCTCTTTGATAACAAGAGCCCTGATAACTTCACCGTCGGGACTCAATAGTACCTTTAGAACAGGTTGTAGGGCCTCTTTAGCAGAGAAATCATTGTCCATTCTACCTTGGATTAGCAAGTCTTCGAGTCTACTCCACCTGCACTGGAACACATCAATGAATGTTCAAGTACACTTTCTCAAAATTATTTTGTACCACTAATTCAACATATATACAGGGCTCTTTGGAGTGAATTATTCGAACATATCTACTGGCATAAACACTTGTGAAACTGTTTGGGAGAGCTTATAGAAACTGCTTATACGTTATAACATGTCCATAAGCTGTTTTCAGTTTATTTCTACAAGCTCCTCAAGATAGCTTATGAAAAGAGCTCCATTTTTTCTTACCTTTTCTTAAAGAAACAGTGTTTATGTTATTAGCGTTTAGTTAAGTTGTTTATCCAAACAGGGTTATATAGTATGAATTTAAGATACTAGTGAAATACATACCTAAACTTCTCATCTTTGAAAAGCAACTCAATAAGAGCATCTCTTAGATATGGATTTGGATCTGTTAAGAGCCGCTTAGCAAAATACGGGTATGACGCTGCAAGCACCTTAAAGTTGGGATCAGCATTAAGTGCTAAACCTTCTAAAACAGTGAGAGACCTCAATATGAGAGCATAGTAAGCTGGGACTGCCAATAGTAGAGAAAAAAGAAATTTAAACATCAGACTATGCAACCAATAGCAGAGAGTAGGAACAGTTAGAAAGTATATAGCATGGTATAATCTCACCATTAAACGGAAATTGATACAGAACATTCCCAAGACCATCCACTAGTGTCTTGAAGTTAAGCTCACTCACGGTATAATTAAGTGCGTCATCAAAAAAGTCTCTAAGTGCTGGCACAATTGGAGAAACATCGACATCAGGTGAAAGGAAATCAAGAGCATAGTAATCACGAGCCATGGCTTCGTAATCTCGGTTAACCAAGTGAACAACATGACCAATTATAGCAGATCGTGCGTCTTCCGGTGTCTCACTCATCATTCCGAAGTCGAGAAAAGCAAGTCTCCCATCAGGCGTTGCTAAAAGGTTCCCAGGATGTGGATCTGCATGGAAATATCCATACTCAAGTAGTTGCCTGAGGCTGCATTGTATACCTGTGTTCACAAGATCCAAGACATTCAATCCTTGTCTCTCAATAGCTTCTTGCTCGCTTAGTTTGACTCCATCAACCCAATCCATTGCCAGTACTTTAGCACTTGTATAATCCCAAAAAATATCAGGAACACAAATATCTGGTCTGTCGGCATACAATTTTTTGAACCTCCTTGCATTTTGTCCCTCCTGCAGTAACCTGTCAAAATTTACATTCAATCCTAAAAAAGAATCTTATATAGTTTACAAATTGTAGTTTCACCGTCATCATATACAAAACATATCACCACCCCACACGAAAATATAATTAAAATGACACGAAAGGCAATTTTACAACTGTTCGCGAGGAGATTTGAATTATGTTTTTTGAGATTATAACATCATGCTCTTACGACAAAGTTAACACCTCATGGATAGTATCACCCCCCCGAAAGATTTTAATTATAAATCAAGAAAACACCTACAAATAATACTAGTCCATAGGCAAAGTATCTAATGCTTGGTGTTTTATAGTTTTTTCTTGAACAAAAACAATTACGCAAAAGGGAAAAAAAAATATACAAAAATACAAAGTATGGTGTTGAGTGAAGAACTGATTACCTGCACATAGTTGAGCTCTTGAAAAACTCTCCGTGCAAATTCATCAATAAGAGCAACAACATCAGTGGTGATTATATCTACATATTTATTTATGAAAAACCCAAGACCTCTAATTAAGTAGAAGTCCAATCCTATAGCTTCCTCAATGCTTGGACGTTGCACCTTAATAGCCACGAGTTTACCCGAGTACTTCAACCTAGCTTTATAAACTTGACCCAGACTAGCTGCAGCTATTGGCGATGGTGATATAGAAGAAAAAATAGAGTCAAGGGATACTCCTAGTTCCCTTTCAATGCATGCAAAGGCCTCATCGTCAGGAAATGTAGGCAAACCATCCTGTCAAAGTACGGCAATTATCAAGGTTGTCCAAGTTTTCACTTCTTTCGAACACATCTTTTTTTTTTATCGATTCATATAAGACTCTTAAGCATAAAATATAAATAAGAGCTACATAACATCAAACGTTACTTAAGTGAATTCCAATAACTATTTTCAGGTATGAGAAAAATTCATATATTATACGAATAAAGCAGCTAAGAAGTGCATGCTATGCTGAATACTGAAATCAGCCACTAAGCCAATCAAAATCCTCACTTTTGCCTCAATTTGATGAGCTTAATTTCAACTTATTTGTGCTTATTAATTGTAATCAATGAAACAGTTTTAAAATATTTTGATGAAATTAACTTCAACAAAACATCAAATTTCCATTCTTACACAAACACTAGTTTAAACTGATAAATATGTTTGGATCTCAACCGCAAAAGCTAACACAACGGTATGTTTGGCTTGTCGTTGCGAACAACCATTTGTACACAAATGTATGTTTGGCAAACTCTTCGATTAACTTAGGTCAAAATATCAATTTTCTCAACTGTAAACCAATCACACACTTAGCTTACTTCAGACTGCTTTTTAATAAGCTCCACTCGAGTAAATATTATTTGAGTTGCTTTTCCAAACAAGGTCGTTAAGATATGTTTGGCGGCAGGCAGGTGCACAAAACAAAATAAAATGGAGGATATGCAAGTATAGCATAGTCCAAATAAGTTTTGGTCTATGATAGAACCAAATCTTCATCCCCATTGATATAAAATAATAACCCTTTATAATTTATTATACATCAACAATAATTAAAAATTGATAATTCTAGACCAAGACTTGTTTGGACTAGTCTATAGTCCTCCTATAATGGATACATACTTGTCCTACGAGGCTAACGATGAACCGAACCTAATCGAAAATAGTTTAACACTCAATTTGACAATAGTAGGTTGAATTTGTTTCATAAACCAAATGAGTAAAGCTGTTGAACTGAACAGAATTGCTTGTTCCAGCTGAAAAAACGGCCCTTACAAACTCAAGTCGAGGAGTTTCGAACTAAACCAAATTACATCGGAGTCAAGTTTCAAACTAAACCAAATTACATCAAGTCGAGTTTTAGTGTTGTTGATGGCAGATGGCGGTCCATGGCGGAGAGCCAAAATCCCGCCATACCGGCCACCAATATAGCGGATTATGGCGGAAAAACCCGCAATATCAGCCTATATTTACCATTGCGGCGAGCCCAAAACCCGCCATGTATATCTATCATAGCGGCCATGCCGCTGCCATTTGATAACACTCTCGAGTTTCGAACTAAACCAAATTACATCGAGTTGAGTTTTGAGCTAAACCAATTCTACTCATTTCCAGCCCTAGTCCTAGGAACAAAAACATACCACATTTTAAAAGTGCGCCAAAGCAGAACACCAAGTCCTATTATGATCTAAACAAGTAAGCAAGGTTTTAAAAAACCATCCATTACCGCGAAAACGACCGCGACAAAACGGTATCCGAAGGTGCCGATATTGATACCGTTATTCACTGTTTTTACGATAAAGAACAAACTGTGGTTAATTGTTAATTCACACCGCAACAACCGCAATCAGTGTCATAACACCTAAACCGACCAAAATCGCGAAAGCAACCACTGACAGTTATTTAAAACCTTGCAAGTAAGCAACCAATGAAACAATAAATGCAAGTGGAAAAATGAGGGAAAGGGAAGAGAAGGCAACACCTGAAGCTCAGAGAGTTCCTCCAAATATTCAGGTGGACATATATCAGGCCTAGTGGACAATCCTTGACCCAACTTCACAAAAGTTGGTCCTAATTGTGTGAATATGGTCTTCAACTCAGCAGCACGAGCCCGTTTATTCTTTTCAAGCATCCCATTCCTCTGCTCGAAAAACAGTTTCAACCCAAATGAACCCAAAGAAGTCACAATCTCAAGAGCCCTCTGAACCACCTATACAAAAACGAAAACTAGGCGTAAATTTTGGAGTCCGCGTTCGAGAAAATTCAACACTACCCACAAAAGAATTTCCAAAAGGGTAATCAAAAAACGGTACAAAAGAAAACCTTGATAGGCTGGGACCCATATTTGGAGGCCAAGAGTTCGGGACTATAGAGAGTAGCATTAACGGCACGGCCCATGGCTCTGGCTTCAGCTTGAAGATCATCAGCGCGGTTGAAAGGAAGCGTCAGGACAGGGTTGGTTCCGTTTCTGATCGAAGGTACGGTGGTTGAAGGCGTTGCTTGCACGACAGCAGCTACGATTTTGAGGCGCGTGAGTTTTGGTCTGGCTCTGAAACGACGTCGTTGGATGGGTTTTGAAATGGGGATTGAACCACGCGTCCATGAAGAACATGGTTGTATTGCCACGGTAGCCATTGGTATGTTGTAAGTTATAAAAATATTTGTTGAAGAAAGAGGATTTTTATTTTCATTTTTGAAGGTCTAGCTAGATTTTTTGTAGCCTTGAAATATATGGGTGGTGGCAAACAAATAATTAGAATTGAGTATACTCGTGGTCATGTCAATGCCAATGACCTCTTATATTTTTGGATATTATATTATAGATTAAATAATTTCATCATTTAAGGTTTTATTAATATTCATATTGTTTTATTCATGAAAAAGAATCCATTGAATAATTTAGTAAAATTATAATATTTTATGAGAAAATTGCATTTTTAATATGTGTGTAAAAATTTTAAATGACAGTTATTTTAAGACTGAGCTATATTATATTTTAAAAATAATTTAAGATGTTTTTTATATAATACAAATTTTAATTTATTCAAAATTATACACAAATATTCAATCTAGCATAAATGAATGGAATACAAAAAAAAAAATTATAAAGTGAATCATAAAATAATAAAGTATTTATTAACTTATATTAATATATAATATTTGAACTAAAATATTTAAATAAAATAAAAATAATTATTATGTTTTCAATGCATTAATAAAAATGTTTAGTATAACGGAAATATATTATATTTTAAAAATAATTTAACATATTTTTTAATATAATACAAATTTTAATTTATTAAAAATTATACACAAATATTCAACCTCGCATAAATGAATAGAATAAAAAAAATTATAAAGTGAATCATAAAATAGTTCATATAGTCAATATATTTTGTAACAATTTTAATTAGAGTGTCAATGTAAAAAGATATTACACAGAAATTCAATAAAATTATTTTAAATATTTGGATAATTATATATATAATTAAACAAGATTTTGAATATATACAATTGCGTGTCCTCGAGCTCAACCAACATGTAATGTTTGGCACGTTAGACTCACTCACATATATGGATAAAAAACAATTTCATGTCTTTCCTGTTCACTAGCTTTGTCTTTATAATTTTGTATTGGTGTTCCAATTTCATCCAATTGAACATTAGAGCATTATAAAGTCTACGTTACATCCTTTGCTTCTGCTTTTAGATAACTCGCTTATATACTGTTTAAATGGAAAAAGGATGTTATTGGTATTTTGACTAGTTGATCCTTGCTTAAAAAAAAAAAAAAAAAAAAATATATATATATATATATATATATATATATATATATATATATATATATATATATATATATATATATATATATATTATGTTGAAATTATTTTTATTTATTATTGATACGTTGAAAATATTTGATGCTTTTTACTTACTTTGTTACAAAACCGACTGCCACTGAAGGTGTCCACCTACGGGACGAAGCTGGAGAAGTTCTTAGATACCATGATGCCTCGGGGGTTAGAGAAACTGTCAATGATTGTGATCTCCTTTCATTGGTGAACTATTCATTGATCATACTTAACGATGCACTATTGTTGGCCTTTGTTGAGAAATGACATAAGGAGACATTTTTCTTTCATCTTCCATTTGATGAGATCACGATTACCTTGGATGACGTCTCCTCCCTATTCCATCTCCCCCTGCCATGTAGTTTCTTCACCACTATTCTCATTAACCTAGAAAAGCGACTCTGCGGAAAGATCAAAAAGGGCACCAACCAAAAGTTGGAATAACCTCACAAGAAAAGATGACCATGTCAGGGATTACCAACCAAGAGTTGGAACGAAACAGGTATACAAGGAGTAGAATTAAACGACTTACAACCTGGGCGAAGAGCTCTGTTGGGGAAAGAGCGGTTTAAACAAACTAACTCTGCTTGGATAAAAAGATGAACTCTTCTATCCACGACTTGCCAAATTAAAGATAACGAGATCTTAAGTCACACCAATATCAGCTGGAGAAACATCTGGCCAAAGCGATACTGGACTTGGCTTATGCTTCATATGTATATGTTTGAATATGGCGTAATGCTTCATACGAAATGGAAATGCTACGCGTTTGGGAGGATGTTATGCAAAATGCAAATGCATGAGAACACCACCGGAAAAAGTGTTTAAAAGAGAAACTGCAAACCAAAATTTGCCGAGAAGAATGCCCTGAACGACCTTCTCGAACAAAGGTCTCTTTAGGGGAGAAAACCACTCTGCTGGGGAATTAAGAACAACCTTCATTGGGGGAATCAACCTTGAAACTACCTCTAGAATGTGCCAATGACCATTGGACTTTGTTGGAGATATCGACCACTGTTAGATACCCATTAACAACAATGTATGCTTGGGGAGAAGAGTCTAAAACATCAAACATGCCATGGGGTTTACCTTACCGTTGAAGAGCATCCTCCATCCTTACCCTGTTGAAGATAACCGCATGCCACTACCGGTGACATCATTTTCGATCCGATAAGGAAACTATATGAGGATGATAAAAACTTTTATATAGGGAGACAAAGAGCCTCTTACTGAACCATTATCTGACTGCATAGCAGCACTTCAACTGATACGAACATTTCTGGAACTTCTCCGACAGGAGTTAAGCAATACTAGGGCAATAACCTTAACAACCTGCAAGCACACAAAAAATAGGGCGTCCTGACTACAAAATGGTTACCTCAGATACCATACATGATATCGGTCACGTAAATTCTCATTTTAAACATGTCTTGTAGAGCCCCCAACCTTTTCACATGTAAAGTTTATCAAAAATATAGACGCCCTTTTTACAAACAAAACAACAAAATTAAAGAAAAGAAATGAAAAGCTCTTTGAGTGAATAATATTATATTGATTGAAAAAGGCATGTAAATAGGCAAATTACAAGTGGATGCAATCTCTGAAAAGAGGAAATTGCGCAAAAAGTAAAAACAAGAAAATACATAAATGTCGGCAACATGGAAACAGACAACCACCATGTGTTGATTCGGCTATGACTTGTATGTCTTTGATGCTTCACCAATGCTCTTTCTTCCGAAAAGACTGATTGGACTGATCTCTTGACCTTCAGGGTGACCATGTACCAAAAGAAATTTGCAGATCGGACGCGGACCATAGTCACTTGCTTTTAAATCCCTAACTTTTGCCTGGATCACCCTTGCAAGTTTTCAATCCACCGGGATACCCTTTTTTTCCAAAGTCGCCTTTTCAGATTTTCAACTCCGCGGGTTCATTTTTTTTATCCCTAATTTTGCCCAAATCTTTCCTTTTTATGGTTCGTCGGGATGTTCCATTTTTGCCTGGACTTTTCTCTTTTTTTTTATCCGACAGGTATTTTTTAAGTAAAATGTTTTTTAACTACGTCTGCATTCACAGGGGAGGTAAAATCTTCACCGTCCATGGTTGATAGCAATAAGGGTCCGCTAGAGAAAACCTTTCTTACCACGTATAGACCTTCATAGTTGGGAGTCCATTTGCCCCTGTGATCTGTTTGTGGAGGGAGGATCCTTTTCAATACCAAGTCACCTACCTGGAAGTGTCGAGGGTGTACTTTTTGATCAAATGCCTTCTTCATTCTGCTCTGGTATAGCCGTTCATGGGTGATAGCTTCCAATTTCTTTTCATCAATCAGGCTCAACTGATTCAGTTTGGCCTTCACCCACTCTGCTTCATCAAGCTTCACATCGGAAAATATCCTTAGAGAAGGAATTTCGACTTCTAATGGTAGAATAGCTTTCACACCATATACCAACGAGAAAGGTGTTTCCCCAGTAGATGTACACACTGAAGTGCGATAACCATGTAAAGCAAAGGGAAACATCTTATGCCAATCTCTATAAGTCACCACAGTTTTCTGCACGATCCTCTTGATATTCTTATTTGCTGCCTCAACAACACCATTCATCTTCGGACGGTACGGAGAAGAGTTTTGGTGTTCAATTTTAAAACTCTGGCACAATTCTTTCATCATCTTATTATTTAAATTCGAACCATTGTCAGTAATGATTCGTTCTGGTATCCCGTATCGGCAGATGAGGTCCTTCTTTATAAAGCGGGCTATCACCTGCTTCGTGACATTGGCGAAACAAGCTGCTTTTACCCACTTGGTGAAATAATCAATGGCAACCAGAATGAAACAATGTTCGTTGGAGGTTGTCGGTTTAATCTTCTCAATCATATCAATGCCCCACATAACAAAGGGCCAAGGAGATGTCAAAACATTAAGAGGACTCGGTGGCACATGCATTTTATCGGCATAAATTTGACACTTATGGAATTTCCTGGCATACTTAAAACAGTCGGACTCCATGGTCATCCAGTAATATCCTGCTCTCAACAGTTTTCTAGACATTGCATGCCCACCGGCATGAGTACCAAAAGAACCTTCATGGACCTCTTCCATCAGCAAGCTTGATTCACTTTCATACATGCAACGCAGCAATACCATATCGAAGTTTCTTTTATATAACACATCATCCTTGTTTAGATAAAAGTTACCCGACAACCTCCTCAGAGTCTTCTTGTCCTTGCTCGATGCCCCAGGCGGATACTCTTGAGTCTTGAGGAAATGTCGGATGTCAAAATACCAAGGCTTCCCATTTGACGCTTTTTCTACTGCAGATACAAAGGCCGGTCTGTCAAGGCGCATGATAGTGATTGTTGGAGCTTCATTCTAGAAATTCACTTTATACATGGATGATAATGTAGCCAAAGCGTCCGCCATCTGATTTTCAGCCCTCGGTACATGATAAAACTCAACCCTATCAAAGAAAGACAACAATCTCCTTGCATAGTTCTTGTAAGGTACCATGTTGGCCTGGCGAGTCTCCCACTATCCTTTAATTTGGTTGACGAACAATGTTGAATCACCATACACATCCAGACTCTTGATTCTCAAATTGATACCCTCCTCTAAACCCATTATACATGCTTCATATTCAGCTTCATTGTTTGTGCAAGCAAATGTCAAACGGGCGATGAACGGTATGTGCGAACCTTGAGGAGTTGTAATAATTGCCCCAATTCCGTTGCCGTACGAATTGACAACACCATCAAAAACCAATTTCCATTGAGACCCAATTT